GAGCAATCCACCCGCTTGGCCTCCCAGAGTGCGTAGATTACAGGCGTGAGCTTGTTCCTAGCACTGTGCCTTGTTCTTGAAGGCAGAAAATAGAACAATGGAACACAGAGAGTGAGCAGTCTGTGGCAGCCAGGCAGACGTCCTTATCCTGCTGGGAGTCAGGGATGTTCCTGATGTCTGAATTAGGTCTTGAAAGATAGGTAGCAATTTTATTCCTTTAATATGGTTATTAAATATTAGGATAGGCATTTGATACTCATCTATTGAACATTAATGATGTGTTATTAGCTTTCTAACACTCTGGCAAGCTGGCATAGCAGGTTTATATAACAGCCTTCAGCACAAATGGCAGTAACTTCCATTTGCCCAGTGTTGGGGCCATTTACAAAACATTTTCACACTTCTTGTCTCATTTGCTGTCACAAAAACTCTTTGAACTCTTTGTTTCTATTCTTGTGATTTCTCTTGTTTTATCTCTTAGCTAAACTCAAAAATTATATTTAATTGTCCAAAAATATTCTGGGAGGCCGAGGCGGGCGGATTGCTCAAGGTCAGGAGTTTGAAACCAGCCTGAGCAAGAGCAGACCCTGTCTCTACTATAAATAAAAGAAATTAATTGGCCAATTAATATATATAGAAAAAAACTAGCCAGGCATGGTGGCACATGCCTGTAGTCCCAGCAACTCGGGAGGCTGAGGCAGCAGGATTGCTTGAGCCTAGGAGTTTGAGACTGCTGTGAGCTAGGCTGATGCCATGGCACTCACTCTAGCCTGGGCAACAAAGCGAGACTCTGTCTCAAAAAAAAAAAAAAATATATATATATATATATATTAATTGTAAAAATTTATAAATTAAATGAGAAAACTTTGGAATTTATAATCACTCAAATTGTACTAACTGAATATAAAACCAAGGCCTGATTCTAATCCTAGCTCAGCCAATCCGTTCTCTCTGGGTCTCAATTTCCTCTGCCATTTCATGCAAAGGATGTTTAGGCTGAAGGACTTAATGAGATAATGGATTTTAGACACCAGCACAGCATCTGGCTTACTAAAAATCAGTTCTCCTAGATATTCTCCTCTAATATCTATTTTTATGTAATTCTGGAAATTCTTAAAGCCCACACATGTGTGTCAAGGCTCCCAAAGAGATGCTTTGAGAGAGAGAGCATGCAAAGAAGCTCATTAACACTGCTGGGACAAAACCATTCCAAAGTAAGAGTTAATAAGATAGTAACAGGCAAAGGATGGTGCTTTGATATGCTCACTTTTTTTTCTTTTTAGGCAGAGTCTCTCTCTGTTACCCTGGGTGTAGAGTGCAGTGGCCTCATAGCTCACTGCATAAACTCCTGGGCTCAATTGTTCCTCCTGCTTCAGCCTTCTGAGTAGCTGGGACTACAGGCATGTGCCATGACACCCATGCTAATTTTTCTATTTTTAGTAGAGAAGGGAGTCCACTCTTGCTCAGGCTGGTCTTGAATCCCTGACCTCAAGTAATCCTCCTGCCTCAGCCTCCCAGAGTGCTGGGATTACAGGCACAAGCCATTGTGCCCAGCTGACACTGTCATTTTGACTCTGAGTTTGTTTTGATGGGGTTGCAGAAAAAATTAGATATGGTAGAAATAATCAACACAAAATAAAACTGACAATGGCTAAAGCTACACATAGTATAATAGAATTTATTAAGGATGGGAAAGCAAACTGAATGATTCGATCTTTGTTTGGTAACATTGAAAACTGTGAAGTTAAAACCTGGGAAAATTCCACTTAGTAGAAATGATCAACACAAAAGAAAACTGACCATGGCTCAAATTGTTCCCAGAAAAAAGTGAACTTGGTGGAAATAATGACTAACAAAGAAATTTCATAATGACTGAAGGAATAATCAGTAAAAATTGATAAAGATAAAAGATAACTGATGAAACAAATCTGTCTTGTGAAACTGCTAAAGAATATATCTTGATGAAAATTCAATATAGGAAAAAAAATCTATTCTTTCTGTCTGCTTTAAAGGATAACAAAAAGAAAAAAATCTAAAAATGTTAGAAATTGTGCTATATAGGAAATTTACCAAGGAATTAAATTGACTTAATGGAGTAATTCCTTTAAAAAACTTTCATAAATTAATTAATGTTAATATAATTCGGAGTTAAAAGTTTACACACCATGAGTTGGCAGGGGTTTGGAGAATTCTCAAAATAGATGAAGTGTTTGAACTCTAAGTATCATTTTACGGTCTTCAAGGCACTTTCAAACCTACTGTTTTATTGGATTCTCCTAATAACCTTATGAGGTGGCAGGGCAGGAATCATTCTTTCCATTTTGCAGATGTAGAAAGTGAAGTTTAGAAAACTTAAGTGACTTATTTAAGTCACCCATCATGTTCATAGCAAGGTCTAATTTAGGATCTGATTCCCAGATTCCTGGTCTAGTAAGCTTCTCATACCTATTTATTACCCTAGCTCAGATAATCCTTTACTTGCTACATAGATCAGAATCCTTTTAATTTTGACTACCCAGCTTCTACTTTCTACTTCTTCCACTAGGAAGAAGTGGGGAAATGGAAGAGAAGTGAAGACAGGGTTTAGAGGAGGGCATGGTCAATGCAATACTAAGATAGAGGAAGGGACTTGATTGTCACATAGCCTACATGTCATAGACACCTTCCTCACTATTCTCAGAAAAGGGAAGAGAGGGGCCTGAGATTTTAAGGCTGAGAGAATAGGATGAAAAAGGCGATACAGAGTTTGAAAAATATAGCGCCTGAAGTATTTGGGGCAAGTGAATCTTGAGGGACAGGAGTGTAACTGCAAGTGAGGTGGGGTGAAGCTAGAGAGAGGCTACAGTAGGACTGTGAACTAACTTATCCTCTGAGCTAAGCTTTCTTTCTCCTGTAGGCCTACAGTTCTCTAGTGGGCTGTGCAATGGAGCTCAAATGTCTTGATGTTTCTTATAGAATGCCAAAGAATAATGACATATAAAATTGAAAATGTTATAATTGAATATATGACTTATGATAATCAGAGATAATCTGATACCATATTCCGTATTCTGGAAGTGCCAGACACAGGTGTCAGAAGAGAGAAAAAATATTTTTTTTCAAGCCTGGAATGGTGGCACACACCTGTAGTCCTAGCTACTCAGGAGGCTGAGGCAGGAGGATCCCTTGGGTCCAGGAGTTCAAGGCTGCAGTGAGCTGTGATCTTGCCACTGCACTTCAGCCTGGATGACAAAGTGAGATCCTGTCTCTAAAAAAATATTTATTTTTCAAGTGCAAGACTTATGTATTCAGTCTATAGACAATGCTTTGTGTAGGTAGAGCTTTGTAGGCCTTTTACAAGAACTCTGTTCCTCTCTCTTCATTTTCCCTACCCATAATGATTTCTGGCCCACAAATTAGAAACCACTGCTATACCATCTGGGGATGGTGGAATTTGTGGAGACTTATGGAATAGCATGCGGTAGGATAGAGCAGAGGAGGTGAAATTTGGGGTTTTCCTGGGGTGGACTGATAGAGATTGGAATAGGAGCTGGTGGGGATGAGACGTTCAATGAAGGGAGTGTGATGATGAGCAGGCAGGAAGGTGTCAAATTGGAAGTTAAGTCCAAATTAGTGTGCCCAAAATATGTTCTAGGGAAGGTAGGACTTTGGCTTGAGTTTGAAGAGTAGGAGAAAAGGAGGAAATGGGTGTGGGCAAGTCCAGAAAAAGGGAAATTTTGAGAAGAGGCATTGAAAATTGAGAAAATTCTCCCTGCTAACTTAATGTTCTTTTATGAATTGGAAGTGACCATCATTATTTGTTTTAATAGTGGAACTGTTGAGGTCAGAGAAAAACCAGCCAGGCAGTCCTGAAGCACCAATGAGGCAATGGGAAGCTACAGAAAGATTCTAGGCAGGAAAGAGAGGTTGTTGGATTTGGAAGTTATATTTTTTGTAAATAGTCTTACAGCTTAAAAAATGATATGTGCTCCTTTTAAACAATTCAGGCATTATGAAAATAAAAATTACTTGCAATCCGAAACCCTTTCCCTTAACATAATCACTGCTAATATTTGGGGGGAACATCTTTCCTGAAATCTCTATATGCTTACAGAACATTGTCTCAAACTTGACATAAATTGCACCCATCTAAACATCCTGTTATATGATAAATTCTTTCCTCTCGAGAATAAATGGTGAATAGCTTTTCATGTCAATAAATAGATGTCTCATCATTTTAAATGGCTGCTTAGTACTGCATCGAATGTATCACAATTGGTTTAACCAGCCCCCTAGTGATGAACATTGATGTTACTCCCATCGACCACCTCATATATCAACTTTGTACATTCATCTTTTTTAAATCGTTCGATTATCTTTTTAAGGTACGTTCTTAAAAGTAACGGAGCTGGGTCAAGAAGTATGCCCTTTTTACATTTGGATCCAAGTTGCCAAATCGTCCCCAAATTTGCAGGGAAGACCAGTGAGGAAGGGGCTGCATTAGATCTGGTGTGAGAAAGCGGCAACGAGAATAGCGAGGGGAGTACAGAATAACAGGTGATCTAACCCATGTCGGCCTATCCTCGGTGGGTTGGCATATTCCTTTCCTTCTTCCTCTCTTTCTCTTCTTTTTCTTAACATGGAGGAAGAAACTAGAACTCCATCTCCCAGCATTTCGCAGGGACCACACTCCCTGGGAACTGTAGTATCCGGTCTGAGAAGAATCCGGAAAAAGGGCGGGAGGCTGTGGGGCATGCTGGGAGATGTAGTCTGGCGGGCGGCGGCCTCTGTATGTGTCAATGCAAAGAGGTTGGAGAGGCTGCGAGCATTTCCCCTATGGGGATAGGGCCTCTGAACAACCTGACTTCCCTCACAGGTGGTCTTGGAATCTACAAATGCCATCTGCGGACGGTTGGCTTCATTCCCCTTTCCGGGACCGGAGAGGGCGCGGCCCGAGCGATTGGGTGCGCGGCGGGAGGCTCAGGCCGCGCGCGGCCCGGAGCAGGGCATGCCGGGAGTTGTGGTCCTGACGCGCTGAGGTTGTGGGACGTGTCGCGGTGCCGCGCCGGCTCCTCCTTCCCTGTCCTTCTCAGCGGTCCCCCGCCTCCTCCCTCCTTCCCCTCCTCCCTCGCCCGCAGCCGAGCGTCCCCTCCCCCCACCCATCGGGCTCCTCGGCAGCTACTGCAGAGGATTCAGAGCCGAGTCGCTGAGGAGGAGGAGGCTCCTGTCCCTGCGCGCCATCAGCCACCCTACTGGACACGGGCGAAGGAGCAAGAGCGTCGCAGCTGTAGCTTCCACAGAAGACAAGGACATCGTCGCCTCAGCCGCCGCCGCCGCCGCCGCCGTTTTCGCCTGCAGCTGCTCTCCGGTGAGCATACCCCCTCCAAAAAAAACCCGGTCCGCTTGTCCTGAGCCTGGGCCGGTGGTTCTGGGGAGAATGAGAGTGGGGGCTGCGGAGCCCCCACGCCGGCTGGGGGGAGGGGGTTGAGGTAGCGATGGAACCGCGGGCTGGCGGGGGAGACTTGTCCAAGCGCGGGCTGGGGGTGGGGTGAGGGTGGGACCCAAGCAGGTTGGGGGGCGGGCGACGAGGAAGGAGTACTTTTAATGGGGAATAACCGGACCTGGGACAGAAAAGTGGGGTGGGGGCGTCGGGTTGGAATTTGGGATGGTCTTGGGGTGAGGGGGAAGATGAGCCTGGACTGGGATGGCTTTTAATGGGGGAGGGGACTGAGTGAGGGTGGTGATTAGGGGTTGGCCTGGAGCAGTTGACAGCTTGGGGTCTGAGCCGGGATTGGGGGTAGGGGAATGATTTCAGTGGAGTGAGATGTACAGGGTTGGAGAGGACCCTGGGGAATGTTAATTCGGGAAGGTGGAATTCAGGGTCGACCTGGGGCAGGCTGGTGGAGGTGGTAGGAGCTAGGGATGAGGGATTTGGAAAGGGTTGAGACCTGAGCTTGATGTGGGTGTCTGTCATCTGAGGATGGTGGAATTTGTGGAGACTTATGGAATAGCGTGGGGTAGGATAGAGCAGAGGAGGTGGAATTTGGGTGAGCTGATGGAGATTGGAATAGGAGCTGGTGGGGATGAGACGTTCAGTGAAGGGAGTGTGATGATGAGCTGGCAGGAAGGGGTCAAATTGGAAGTTAGGCCCAAAATGGGAGAACAAGGATTGAAATTGGGGGTGGGGCACAGTGGAATAGGATTTAAGGTGATCTTAGAATCACTGGAAGAGGCAAGGTGGCTCCCTGGGTGTGAGGTTGAGGCAGAGGGCATATAAGACATCACTGGGCTGGACTCATTGAAAGGGTAGTGTCAGGTGGTAAGCAAGGTTAGGTTATGATATCTTGAAGAAAATGTCCCTTGGGCAAGGTGGCAGAGGGAGTTTTGGAGAAAGAATGCCAGAAATGAGCTGGTAGGTCTGGAGAGATTGTTGATTGATGATGGTTAGGTGGCAGAGGGGAAATTTAAGGAGTGGGAAACCTGGAGTTGCTGGTATGGATGGAGCAGAGAGATGGAAAGGTATGAGAGCGGTCCTTGGAAGAAGTGGGTTGGATTTTTCTGGAGAGTAAGGATTAGGTTAGTCTCCAAGAGACACAAGAGGGTTAGGGGTCGGAACACTTAAATGGGCAGATTTGGTGGCTGTGTTTGGGGGAAGGTTAGTAAGGTTGTTAGAGGGGACTTAGTAGGGGACACAGAAGGTGTATTAAAGACTTTCCGAGAGGACGTTTCAAGCTGTTAGTTTGATCTTTTTGTTTGCTTGTTTCATTTATCTTAGTATCATTTGGAAGCCAAGTCATTACATTGGTATCATTTGGAAGCTCAAATGATAAAGTTGAGAGGGGCTTCAGTTAAGGTAGAATTAAGGAGGGGAGGGTGTCTTCTATTATTCATATAGCATAAAAAGAAAGTTGGGGGAAAATGCACTTCCAAACTAAAGGGGGGAGAAGGTGAAATTAGAATGTGATAGATATCTTTCTATATGTTGTCTCTGCCTTCTCCTTTCCCCTCTCCCACTGGTGCATTTAAGAACTGGTCTTGGAATTTGGTATTTAAATAGATTTGATGAGCTTGAGATTGTTATGGGTGCATTCCTTGCTTGAGAACTGATGAATGAGACTGAAAAATATAAGGCTGAATTTATTTTCTAGGCAGGCAACATGCACATAGGTAAAAAGAGCTTAGCTCCCCCCACCCTCCTTTAAAATTGATTGCTTGAAGACTCCATTTATTGGTGTCCTGGTTTGCAAGGCAATTAGGCCCATCATTGTATTGCAGGCTAATAATCCTGAGATGAGTCTTGGCACCACCACTTTATGTAAACAGAGAGAAGACAGGAAATATGGAAATGTCATAAATATTCATTGGCGAGATGGTTTGGTACTGATGGAATTTTTCATATTATTCCCTTTTGACATTGCTTGATAAGATTAAAATAATTGGACTGTATTTCAGATTCAGATTCAGATTCAGTTTTCTTCTAAAGGAATTCAAATGATCAGAATTCTGTCAGATGTGGATAAAGTATATGGAGTCATTTTTATTTTTATTTTTTAGGAAATGATGTTGATATAGGCACATTGCATTAACTACAGAAACAATATCTCCATCTATTCATCAGAAATTTGATTTAAAGCTTAGTGATATACTCATTCTCCTGGCAGAATGGTGATGATAGAAGGTAGAGAGGAGTGTAAATGGAGGGAACATCTTTAGGGGAACAATTTTCTGGACTTAATTGCATTAAGTATGATATGTTAAACATGAAGTAGCTATTGATTAGATCTCAGACTGAGGAAAAAATATAGGATATAAAGAAGATAAAATTGGTATCAATGGGATCAAAATAATTCTTTTTGTTTATGTTCAATCTTCAGAGTTCAACTTGCAAACAAACCATTTTCCTTGGCTTTCACAACTAAGCACATAAAAATACCCATTTAGAATCTTTTTTTTTTTTTAGTTTCAAAATGGGCAGAATGATGGAAAGTTGGATTTATTCTTTGAATTGAAAGTGTTTTGTTATGAGGAAGCTTCCTGTATTACAATAAAAATCAGGTTTTAGCAGTTACCTGTAATTCAGTGAGAGTGTAATGCAACTAATGCAAGCATTTCTCCTTGTAACTTTACTCTGGGGTCCAGACGTTGTTTTTGTGGATCGGCAGGCTTGGTCTAGAGAGATGGGATGTTTATATTAAAACCCCAGCTTTTTTGCATTATTTCGGGACAGAAAAAGAAAAAAACAAAACAAAACCTAGCTTTTAATTTTGGACTTCTCCTAAACAAAACAAAACAAAAACAAACCCTAGCTTTCGAGAGCTTAAAATGAAAAGTAAGCAACTGGGAGAAATGTATTGCTAGATTTTTTTTCCCCTTAGCTATGGTCACCTGTGCAGTAGTAATGTGTATAAAGTGCTTTAGTATTATATCTTCACCTCATTTGATCCTTCAGATACCTGGTGAGAAGGAGAGAGCAGATGGAGATATTGGTAGACAGATGCCTTGGTAGAATGAATAGCTAGCTCATGAATTTAGGAGTCAAGAGTCCTAGCTTCAAATCTCAGTTCTACCACTTGAAAGCTGAGTGATTTCAGTAAAGTCATTAAAAATTTTTCATATTTGGTCATTAAAATTACACAATGCTGTGAATGTACTCAATGCTGCTGAATTGTATGTTTATATTTGGTTAAATGAGGGGAAAACCCCCCCAAAACCAGAAAACTTTCATACTTCACAAAGCTGTCAAAGGGAACAAACCAGTTCATGTCCTGAAAACACTGTGCATATATGAAAAATCTATTTGCTATTTATTTATTTAATGCCTGCTAAGTGCCAGGGGAAATGAAAATGATGGAAAAGCAGCTGTCAAGGAGCTTCGTCGTCATGGGAGAGATAGAAAATTTAAATATAGTGAGAGAAGTGAGGCAGAATGAACACGGTGGTTAAGAATATGGGTTCTGAAGTCTGTCTGCTACTTACTACTAGGTATGTGACCTAGTATAGGCACAATGGGCTCATCTGTAAAGTGTGGATAATAGAAGTAATATCATAGGGTTGTTTTGAGAATTAAACAAAATAATTGGTGGAAAGCATTTAACACAGTGTATTATATAGTACTCATTAGAAAAATAATAGCTGTTGCCATTATTATTAGAGATATAGGCAGAAGCTAGAATAGTGAATAGCCTTATGTGGCCTACCAATGAGTTGTTATTATGGTATTCTATTATTTATTAAGGAGATATTATTTTGTATTATGATCTCCTAGTTTATCTGCATATTTGCATGTTTATAGTCTAGGAACTTTTAAACAGTTCTTTAAGCTCCAAGAAAAGTACTAAACAAATGTTAGCTGTTAGCATCTCATCTATAAAATAAAAAGAAAAACTATGCTCTGAGAGGTTAAATGACTTGTTTAAGGTTACATAGCCAATAAATGGAAAGGTCTGGGGTATAGCCCCAAAATTCTGATTCTTCAATCCTGCTTATATCCCTCTTTTTAAATTGTGAAATATGCCTTATTTATGAAAGTGTATATAATGTAAATTGACAATTTAAAGAATAATAACACAGTGAAGACCTCAGTGAAGACCCCAGCTTAACAAAAAAATGGAGATTTCTAGTACCTTTAAAACCTCTTGTGAGGCCCTGTCTGATTGAATCTCCTACCTTTCCCCTCCCTCAGAGGTAACCACTTTCCTAAATTTTATGTGAATAATTTCCTTGCTTTTCTTTATACTTTTATCAAATATGTGCCTATCTCTGAAGAATGTATTTTTTACCTTTGCAACTTTTTGTAATAGAATCATAGGGTAAGTATTCTTCTGTGACTTGCTTTATTCTTATTCTTATTTTTTAACTTTACAGTAAGCTTTCTTTCTTCTACCATTAAGTAATATATGCTCATGATGGAAATTGAAAATTATAAAAAAGTAAAAAGCAAAATTATTATCTGTAGACCCATTGCCCAGTAATACTTTCTGTTATTATATGTGTGCATATATTGAGAAATATGGGTAGTCCACATACCAAGAGCATCTTACCCTATGGATCATCAGATTACCCAGATGTAGATTAGTCATACTCGGAAATAGGAATAGGAGGGTATAGTAGTAGCCTTTGTGAGCTCTGACAGAGTACTGTCTGGGAGAGTTTTTCTCACTGGCAGGAATTCTGTGTATTCTAGATTCTAATTCTTTGTTATACCAGTTTGAAGCTTCATGTCATGTTTTGGCTAGTCACTTAACTCTTTTGGTCAGATCCATCTTTTTTTTTTTTTGCAGAAAGGCAGCCTGGTACATTGGTCCTCATCTGATTGTGCAGGAGAGTCTGTCATCTGATGCACAGAGAGTACCACGAATAGGAAATCCT